CAAAAAAATACAATACCTTTTCTTTATATGACTTTAAACGTACAATAAAATGGAGCTCTATAATCACATGCTTAAATAAGATGATCCATCATGTGTGAATCTAATAATATAGACAAAACATTTTCCTATATAAAAGTAGAATGAGAAACATTATGACCTTCAAGAAAACATTGCATACGTCATCGGTATAATAAAAGAACACACAATATAGCATGATGAAAGAAGTAAACAAAAGAATCTTCTTATTGAGCTACAGTACAATGAGGATTAGTCAAAAAAGCCTAATGTTGCTCTAAATATGAATATATGATTAGATTACGAAAAAACTATATTTTCAATGAATGGTTATTTTCATAAATGAAACAAATGTGTGAGAAAAAAATTCCATTACAAAATATTAAGGTTTGATAAAAGTATTTACTTTACGTTTTTTTATGCATTCTAAAATTAAATGAAACTCGGACATAAAACTATGTGTCAAATCTCTTTTTCTTTTTTATGCTTTCTATTAAAATGTCTATTCATAATAGCGTCCCACTATATTTAAAAGTGACTTTTTCAAATTGGTCTTGCAATGTTGATTGATAAACACAATAGCTTTGATAAGTCACAATGATATAATCATGATAGCAAGTTGTTTGATGTATTTTATGTACTATTGTATAACAGGGAGTCAAGATTTAGGAAGCACATGAATAATTAGCAATCAAAAATCAAAATTTCCAAAAATTAAAATAATTTCAAAAATTTAAGTCTAATAAAATTTGACATATAATCATAAATAACTTAAAAAATGCTACTACAATTATCTACTTTAGGATGACTCTTAGTATTCAAAGAAGAATGCGGTTAGAAGTTGAAAATGAAGTTTTTTTTTGACTTGATGACATTTTGGATTGTATTTTAAGCCTTTGATGAATATAAAACATCAATGTTGATAACCAAGAAAATTTATTGATATTTTTAGCATCACTGATTATAGATTAATATATCTGTGTAAGTTTGCTATATGTTTTACCTGCTTAAGATACTCTAATTCACAAATTAGTTAAATCAAATTAAGTCAAAACTTTGTGTTTGAAGCAAACGGTCATGCAATGTGTAAAAATTTGGCATGAAATAAAGATGGGATCAATTTAGATCTAGCACATATCCCTTGTATATCATAGACATCATATAAAAAATGAGACAAAAGTCAACCTAATTTGTCTATAGTATCATATAAAATAATATTTAGCACTTTAGAAAAAACTAAATGTATAAAATTGGCTTATCTAATCAACATAAAATTTCGAAAAAAATAAATTCAAATTTTATAAAATATTTAATTGAAATGCTAGTCATATTATGATCAAATAGATTTGTAACTCAAAATGAAAAAGATTGCGATGATGGTTTAGTCTTTGTGCATGTATCTTACATAGTTATTTATAAATTCGACTTTGAAGAATTGTTGTTACATATCGAATACAAATGTATATAGTGAACCTATGAGTAGAATTGAATAGCTGTAGCTAGCATAAAAAAAATCATACTGATAATGGATATTCCATCATGTATCTATTCACATGAATGAGAATCCTAATTAAAAAATATTATATAATATAAAAAAAGCCATGTAAATATATTTTTTGGACTTTGAAAATTTTATGTTAAACAGACGAAAACAAATACACTACATTTATTATTCTTGATATCCAACCCATGCGTGCGATTTCGAAAAATAAATCAACAAACTCAACAAGTCTCTCGAAACATTTTCTACATATATATACATATAAAAAATGGAAAACTACTAGAATTAATTACTCTTGTTGGCAAAACAAGATATACAGTAATGACTGATGGACCCCTTCACATGCTGTTGCTCCCCGTCATTGCATATCGCCTACCAGCTAGCAACCTAGAGATAGCAAGTTAAGAGAAAATGTAATCCGTCTCAAACCAAGCTGTGCTGTATCGTCCGGATGCTGCCGGCTCGCGAGGCTGTTGAAAGTCACAAATTTTATGGATCACGAAGGCAAAGAATTTGCAACGAGTTGCTCGAGTAAGAAAACGCTGACTGTTGACTTTAGAATAACGTTGACCTGGTGGTAGAGACTCTTCTGAGGTCTCTCTGTTTCCTCCCAATTTGTCCCACCAATATAATGTCAATATGGTGAAAGTCGATCTAACTAGATCCTCCATATGCTACTTCGACGTACGTTGGCTTATACTCGGAATGAAAGTGGCAAAACAGAGTACGGATGTGGAGGACTTGTACCCTTTCTAGATAGCAAGCAGCTATAGTTTATTGCAATAAATTCTTCAAAAACTTATCAGCAATATGGCTACATAACTTTTTGGAGGTAAGGGTGGTGTGAACACAGTGTTTTCTGTTACTCGGTCCAAAGTTGCTGCAGAAGAAAGCAGGAACTATGTGTGCACAAAGTCCCAATGGCTCTGTTTGTAGAGCAGGCAATAATGAAACATTTATTTTTATTTAAAGTTCGAAAGAGCACAGTGTACAAAAGCGTCGATCATATGCAAGATATCACGTTTCTTATATCTATTATGTGAAATGGCCAATAATTGGTGGCAAAATCATATAAAAGTCTTTGCAGCTAGAGGCAAGAAAGTTTGTTTTAACAACGCTAACATGATAATAACCTTGTACATTATAAGGCATAAATAATAAATATTGACCATCTGGCCGTAACCACCAGCGAAGGTCGCGTATTTTAATGAGGAGATAGAGATTGACATAGCCAGCAGAGTCCAGAGTCGAGACAATACTATGTGAGAGAGGACAGAGCGAAGCGAAACAAAACAAAATGTGAGAGTGAAATGCTCATGATATGCTGAAGTAGTAACATGACATGAGGTATCCGGTGATGGGAAGTTGACAAATGTACATCTGAATATTTAGAGTACGACGAGGAAGAAGAGTGAGTCTTAGACATCAATGTAAGAGTAAGGGATCACATAGAACAAAAGGCATGTACATGTGGGCTATGAAAATATGATGTGGTCAAAGGGGGTGAAACAGAGGTTAAGTGAAAAAAATAGTCTTCTCTCAAATATGAGACTAAGATGAATCTAGAATTCTGTAAGCAAAAGAATGTTTTAGATTCAGTGAAAGCTTGTCGATTAATCAATGGTACAATTGCTGCTTTCTACCACTCACGGTAGAGTATGTGAATTGTGACCTTCATGTGTATGGATACTGAGTAAGATGTGATGGGAGGCCAAGCAAAAAGGATGGGAGCCATCAAGCAGTCCTTGATGAAACTATACGGGTAACTTGGAGTGAGATTACAATCCAGTCCTTATGAGAAATATGTTAAACTTAATAAAAAAATAGATTAGATATACTAAATATCTAATCTAACATCTTTGACTATGATTTATTTAAAGTAAAACTTCATGTTACATGATTTCTTACTTCATAGATACTAGCTGGTGATCTCAATTATTTTATTCCAAACTCTTGTCCAACCTTGTGGAGCCATTACTAGGTATGATCCATTTACGAATCTAGCCGAAGTCTCTAATGTCACCATTAAAGACTTTTGTTTACGGTTGAGGGTGGTATGAAATGAGCCACAGTTTGGAGAGTAATTCCATGATTCCCCATTTAAAAACCAGTAGAATACTTGTTACCTGAAGAGACTCAGTTTGTCATCCGCGAGAAAGAATCGTGTATTTGGGCAATGGGAGGTAAGCCTTAACATCCTAGTAGCTAAACCCAAGAACTCTTTTCAGGTTCTACATACTATACTCCTGAGCATTTACATGATTCATCTTGAAGCTACAATTGTGAAAGTTGGATATTCGATCTTACCCGCAGAGAAGGGTAGTCGTTCAGCAACTAGAAGTGTATATGTGTCTTCTGGTACATGAAACACGAATGCAGTTAGAAAGTAGAGAGCAGGATTATAAGGTGATTTCACTGGAACCACTGAGTCTTCAGCCGGTAGTGTAGTTGTCTCTAAATGTGATCAGTGAGTATGGTTGGGGACCAGGTGTTCCACGTTCGTACCATCCAGTCAACGATGTTCTTTCTTGCAATCAGTTTTTTTTTTTTTTTTTCTTGGACCCTATCACATCAATTCTCAAAAGTGACCCGTTTGCCAGCTCTCATGTTAGACTGTTGCTCTTTTCTCGTACTGTTCTGTCGTGCAGAGTCATGCTTTGTGAGCAGATCTATCGAACACGTTGGAATAGATCGATCGGGTAGATTACGTTCTTCAACCACTAAGGTTTTCTTTCTCTCCGGAGCTCTGGGAGGTACCGGTCTCCGATCTATTACATGTGTAGGTTGAGCGGTAATTACTTTTTGAGGTAGCTTCATATCGGCCTTGAGAAGTTTCTCCTTCATTCAGTCAGTGCTTTTTTCAGTCATACCCTTCTCATGTCTTGGATGCGAGTGATCTTCGTCCTTTGATAAAATAGAGAGGACGCTTAAATAGCAATCGCAATATTCAACCAGACTTCGTGAACGCTGGAGGAGAATCTCATCGCCAAAAATGGAGGAGTTGTTGTCAAACCTCTGCGACACGGCATCAAAAGTATGAACAGCGCGAATTCCAAGAGGCGCCTGAACGTCTGGTAACATGGGCAGAAGAAGCTTCTGACTTCAAAGAGTTGTACCTCAGCCGGTGTGTGAAGCTGCGATTGACTGGGATCTTGGCAATTGGCAACGCAGCGAGTGGATTCTGCATTAAGTAGTTGAGGTCACCATTCAGTGAACAGAGTGGAGGACATCAGACGATTATAGGTTCAGATAGACATCGTATGGGTTTGACTTTATACATCAGGCTTTACATATATCCTCGGCTACATTGTAGAATGAGAAGGTGATATATACTCAAGATCTTGTCATGCTTTTCAACCATCATTTTTCAGATGCATAGATTCCCTTCAGCAGAAACTAAGCCGATACCGTATTGAACTCTTCTTCATTGACACAGGACTCTTTACTTCACAAGTATGTCAGTAAGAATCGTCAGAGATGTCCCTATACCTTTATTCTTCGCAAAGTTTCAATCCAGTCGACACAAACGTTCAGGAAAGATCACATATAAAGTAGAAATCCAACTTTTTGGGTCGTACAGAGTATATTGTCATCATTGAGCATCTTGACAAATGTAGACTTTTGGTGGAAACAAGATACATCTGCGAATTATTGTTGGAAAATCTTCTGTTTGCAGAATCTATCCGACGTGAGGCACAATCGTGCTGTAACTGGTCATTGAATCATATCCTTGTTCTCGCCAGTATATGACTGTGAACACTACAGCCACGACATAAGAGACGAGAACTAGATACCGATCCCATGACCAAGGTGCTCTATTGCTGTCAATATCCAGAATATCTAGCGTCTTCATGACGTAGATAAGCATGCTTTTGAGCCAATGGACGAGGAAAAGAATTGCTGGAATCGCAGTGTACACTGAGTGCTTAAGAAAAGAAAACCAGAGGTAAGAGTACGTTGCTACGACGAATAGGGTGAAGAGAGCAAGAACTGGAGGCCAGATCAGCCTTTCATTCCCATGCTGTGAGTAACCATTTGGAGGCCAGTCTGTCGCCAGGCTCGCCTCCAGAAGCCGTTCTTCTTCGGTCGCGTCGAGGTGAAATTGGATGGCATAAACGCCTCGGCTGGCGAAGAGATAGAGAACTGATCTGAGGAGAACTAAGGCGGCAATCATGGATCCAAGAGACTCTACCGGACTTATGCTTAAGCGGTTGAACATGCGAACAATCACAGCACTCAAATATCCTAAGCTCTGCATTCCGATGATCAGTATGTAAACCGCAGAATATCCCTGGGCGAATCTAAGCTGGCGATACGGAGGAACAAGTTTGGCTCGGAACAGAGCCTCCTTTCCCCTGTTATTCAACAGAATCGTCTTATATTTTTGGAATGCTTCCCGTTTTCCAGATCCCACTGTAAATGACTCCAAGTACACTCGAGAATCGTTACGCATGTAAGGTAACTCATCTAGCGGGATGTACTCTGAATGACTGCGCTCAAATTTGTCAATTTCTGCAAAATTTGGAGACTGACCGTCGAGGGTTAGCATCACAGGGCATCCTTCGAGGATGCGAGCAGCGTCTCTCTCTTGCTTGCTGACAGTAGTCGAAATATGCTCACTAAAGTATGAATTTCGATAAACCCAAGTAATCAGCTCTACCATATAACGAGCTGGATGCAGAGGTCCATAGAGGAAAGCAATGTGCAACCGACCCAGGGTCCACTTCTCGTATGGCTCATTTTCAGGATTCGCCACGTAGAGGTCTGACTCCAGTCTGCTCCAGCCAAGGAAGTACTCGTCCACCATTATGGTCGCCAGAGTCACGAGAAATCCTGATATGACTGCTTCTAGGGGCCGAGCACAATAGTAAGCGCTGGCTGGTAACTCTTCGGTGGCCACATTTGTAGTGCAGTTTCTGCAGGGGATTTCTTGCGCTTGCGCCATTTGCACTCCAATGACCCACAGCGCCAGACTGGGGATTACGATGTTGATCTTCCGTGTGCTCATGAAATTGATCATGGCATGCTTCATCCCCATTGTCGGCCGACACGGTGTGTAATACAAGCCTCAACTGCGTCTTGAAAATCAAATGTTTTTCTCCTTTCGTGGAGGAGAGTGGGACTGAAGTTGGCCTTTTCACATACTTTTCATCCTACATTTACATGCAAAGATTCTTGACGGCAGCATCCACTCCGCCCACCCTCACTGTACAGAATTCAGAGTGCTGCTACTCGCAATTTTTCTTCCACTCAACAGCAGGGACGTTCACTCGCAATCGTCTGTAAGCAGGAGCAGCAGACAAACTTCAGAGAGTCGAATGTCTAAAAGATACACGTCTCGACGTCAGGTTCTTTTTTTCGTGAGGAAGCGTATGCCTAGACCGCTGACCCTCGCTACCTAGCTTTGCTACATCGTGATGGTAGGCATCTTCGAGATCAGAGAAGCTCTAGCTAGGTTTTGTGATGATCACAGTACTGAGGCTGCTTTACATCGTCGCATCCTTCAAATTTATAGTCGTCCATCTCTGTCCATCATCAAGGCGGGTAGCTAGCCGCTGTGTTGTCATGAGAGATGCCTGGAGTGTGATAGAATTTAAGCGAACAGGACTTTGAACCAACATCGTTCACCAGTAAAACTCTAGATGCAGTCAACCCGCTTTGGTCAACGGGTGTGTGTTTCATGTGTAGAGTTCCTCGAGCGAAAGAGACTGAATCATATCCATATTTGAAGAAAGTCAGTAGTTTAGCAAAAATAAGTGCCCTAAGAAGCAAGATGGAGATGAAACAGGGTGGCAACAGTTTTTGCAGCAGTAGATATGACCAAAACATCTATTTGTGTGCATGTCTACACGCACATGATGCCTGTGAATCTTCCACTAAGCATGCTCATGCAGGTACGGTACTGCATCATGCTCCACGGCTCGCAGACATCCCCAATTCAAATCCTTGAAGTTCTGCACCCAAGAATCTTTTCTTCTGTTGAGCGGTGCAACCTACGTTATGTTTTGGGCACTCAGGCCTTATGCCTTAATTGGGATTTTCTAATCAAATGGACCGAAAACGCATCGTATAATCTGCTTAAAAATCCCCGCCAAGTGTAACAATTTCATCTGCTTTCATGTTAACTACGTTTATCATATCAGTTTTGTGGCTCAATATAATCTGACTTAACTTTTACTCTTGTTACTTCAAGGTGTTCAATTTGTAGGGATTCAGCTGTCTGGTATGTTGGATACAGATATACAGGAACAGAGCTGCTTGAGGTCTAAACTTTGAACAGGAGTGAGCTCCTAGAGTCTGCACCAATTTGCAGGAGACGCATTGTGCCAATTATGGCTTCATTTGCATCGCTGAATGTAGACACCAATTTCTCATGTGTAAATATATACTTACTTCACCAATCAAAAAGATGATCTCAACAATAGCGATGCTAGACACTTTGGAGTCGTTACAACACAGTTTGAACACACACATACGATCCAAGGAGTGTTTTATTTGCCTGTATATGGAAATCCCGAGCGGAGAACTTTGTGGAAAATTTCTGACCATCGGTATAATTCTGGATTTCGTAGCGTGATTCACATAATATACATAATATTCAGCTCTTGATGATGCAGAGTCATTTACTCTAACATCATCTGTTACCAAAAAAAAAAAGAGGGATGTCCGAGGATATCGCCACCATCTCGAGGGTTGGAGCCTCACTTTCTCCACGTTGGAGTGCGAGTCACACATTCGCAACAAGCATTACAGTATTTTTATTTTGTGAACCGTGCATGGCATTATCGACTGATTCTCTGGGGTCAGCTCGAAATGTAGTCACAAGTTTTATTCAACCGACACAGGAATCTCGTGCAAATGTAATCGAGGGTTTTCTGTTATTCCAATAAGGGAGCCACTCAATGGTGTTCGGTTTGGATTGAAATGCACTTGAATTGTAGTAACCAGGTACCGAACTCAAAATTTGAAACATGGAAAAAGTATCACTGTACATACGAGCATGTCAGTAAATACAGAAGAGTGAATCGACGTCCACCTGATCGGACCTTCTCATACATCTTTTACAGATATTTTACAACTGTGTCATGCAAAAAGACCTTGAGAGCAGGAACTACTCCAGTAAGCTGACAATTATAACTAACTTTCATATTTTTTCTCACAAGTTGATGTTGAGATACCAGCTCATTTTAGACTACAGACAGATGCACGACCGTGCATCTGTCTGTCTGTCTGAGGAATGCTTGACTCTGTCACGAGCTAACCAAGGAGTCCATGAAGTCGCAAAGTGCTCCCAGGACGGATGGACTCTAAGACTGCACAATTGAGATTTCTGTACAGCAAGTATCTCAAAGACTGATCGTAAGCAGTACTATGAACTTTGAATCGTCATTACTGAACATGAACTGAAATTCACCATTACTCATAACACAAGGGCTGGTCTTGTCTCACTGGCCGCCACAGACTTACAGGAATTGAGAGCACTAGCTAATCCACTTTTTGACTCTTCTAAGGACTGTAAGTAAAATTTTGGAGTATTTTTTAGCTCTGAACAATGAATGAAAGAGCCAATGCTGATGGCTAGACCTGAAAACCTCTACCAAAATATCATCAAAGAACTGTAAATGCACGCTGGCCATGTTAATTTTGCCCATATCAATTATGCAATTTGTGGATCACTGTCGCGGCATTCGATGAAGGTTGAAGCTTATTCGGAATGCAGGGGCTGCTCGGCACAAGACGTTCTCGAGGGTTGGAATGCTCTGTCGCTTACAAAATGGTCTTCTTAAATTTTCCGAAAAGTTCCACATATCGGGTAAGCACCGTCTGCAGGCTAATTCAGCTCCAAATGTTTTGGTTCTCTAACTTTCGCCCACCTGATCTCAGGCTCCACACGACAATGCCGTTCGGCTCCCATGGCTAAAGCGAGGCCGGAATATCGAAGAAGCTGGACCTGGCCCTCAGTCCACATTCTTCGCTGGAACTCAAGAGCATCGGTTGGCACTATCAAGCTATTCTCGAACGCAACCCAACAATCGAAGGTTAAATTTACCTTATATCTCATAAAAGACTGCAATATGTGTCCGGCTTCCCACGAAGCGCTCTACTTCGAACCAAAGGGGTTCTAATTGTATGAACTTGGAGTTTTCAGCGCTTTGAACCTGCTAACCAGGGCAAGTAAAATCGTAGCCGTGTACCTCTCCGCCAGGACACATAAATTCAGAATGCTCTGCAGCTAGTCTTCGCGCTATAGTTAGCAGCCGTCGTGTCTAATCTGCGGGCCTGTAGCCATCAGTTAGAAGCATGGAAGGCCCGCAGGTCGAGCCCCGGATTCCTAAACAATTTTGTACTTAGAGGCCCCGGGCCGACGTCATCGAATATTGTCGCTTGAAACAAAATTTCCCTGAGAAATTTCTCCTTTCTGAATTCTGAATTTCACCTTTACATTTGGGGTTTAAACTTCATCTTCCTGTTGAAATCTCTCGTCCAAAATGAGCAGACCCATATTAGCCTGAGTCGGATGTTGCACAGGGACCGCCTATGCGAAAGTCCAGAACTGCAGTCAGAAGGAGGTAGGCACTGTCTTGAACAGGATGTCCCAAACTGCAAGCCGAGCTTCGACTCTCTAAACCGATCTACCTCGGTATCAAGGAAACTGATCCTCCTGATGAAGATCTACCTCGACGTGAACTCGAATAAGGGTGAATATCTTAGCCCGCTATCCATTTGGAAGCGGACATGTGTGACGAGTCTCGCGTCATTCTCTGAGAACAGATATCGAGGAAATGCTGGAGTACCTTTTCGACATCTGTTCCAATGGGGACGTGATATGTCTTAATACGCCAGCCTTTTGTTTCCACCGATCCGATCTCCGCCCACGATCTGAGAGTTCTCATATCCATTCCGGACTGTGCCACCTGCGAGCTATAAGTCAGTAGTTTGTTTCTACGGCGCTTTCACAAGAGCCTCCGGTAATTCAATGCTGCGCAGTCAGGGTCGGTGCGATTGACTCCTTACCAAATAAGTTCGAAATAAGGGCATACGGCTCACGAGGAACTCTCCGTGTGCTCGTGATATGCGCACATTCGTGCCAAATCTGGATGAGCTGTGTCGGAGAGAATCTCTGTTTGAATGGTAAGTCCCTATTTGGAACTAAACCTCTGTCTTTCGAGGAAGCCTTCTCACGGGATCACCCGCCTGTGCCGGTATATTGGACGGAGAGATCGAGAAGCGTTTTCAACACTTCGAATGGAGGCTCACTAACATCTGTCGGGAAACGGAAGTGTGACCCCTAGTGGTGATGTTTCGAAGGGCACAAAGCTACAAAGTCATAATCAATGAAGCCTTTTTGCAGATTAGTTGAACTTTGGTAAGTTTGTCTTGTTTCATGATTCTCCTTGTTCAGTGACTCTAAGATTATCCGAACTCCTGTGAAGTATCAAGGGGAATATGATACTTCACAGTTTGATAGTCCTAAATTTGATACCTAATATCTCAGTTGGTGTCAGCTGATGTCGATATGCCTTCGTTCGGAAGCAGCAAGGTAATGTGGAGGAGATTGTTATAAAAACATTGCACATGTCAGTAACTTAGTCTGATCAAATTTGGATATGTCTAGATATGCTCTCAATGCCCAATTTGTATGAGTACACTCCTTGTTTGTCAGGCTTACTGACTTATGAAAATCTCCTCCCATAATTGCCTTTCTTAAAATGCTGAATGTTTTAAAACTTCGTTTTCATGGGTTTTCTATCTTATGAAGTAATTACATCAATTTATTCACATTTTCTTCGGAATCCATCTTCTTTAGTATCTCGTTGAGTCTGGTATGTTAAGTAGTTTTGATTCAAATTTTATAAAATATTTATTTAACATTTTTGATATGATTGACATAATAAAAGAAAATGACACTTTCTAGATAAATGAAGTTTGTATGTACTTTTTATTCAATTTGATTCAAAAAAATTTGTATCTTTTTCTAAATTTTTCATTTAAAAATATTTTTTCTAATCAATTGTAATCAAATTTTGATATATATTTTATTTGATTTATCAAATTTAAATCATCATTAAAAAAACATCATTAGAATAAAGAATAAAAGATTTATACTTAATTGTTGTTATACAGTAAAATCATACATTGTTTCTTGTTTTTGAATCATAAAGAATTAGTAATATAAAAAATAATATTATTATATATAATATCAATAATAATATTTTATTATGAATTTAATCCACGTTTTGTTAACCATAATTAGTTTAATCATAATTGATTATTTTCAAAAAGTTTGAAATATTTAACTCTTGGATGAACACTTTATGGTTTAGTTTCACATGTATATCTTTGTGGAGAAATAATGTAGACTCGAGCTGTAGAAGTCTACTATGATATTGTTCTTTTACTGGAGTTTTTATCTTGGTTGTGAATGAAGTCTCAGGTGGAGTTGAACCTTGTGCATTGGTGTGTGATTCTCATTTGTGATAATGGTATAAGTGGTAATAGAGCTAATTCAATGCACGTAGATTTTTTATTTCCACAAAGTTTTTAAATATGAGGGAGCATAGAAGCGTTGTCAAAATTTCTACTCTCAATTTTGAATAGAATCTTGGTTGATTTTCTGCAGAATTGAAGCAAGAGGCACTTATCACATTTTGATGAAAAAATAGTATAGTTTCATCAAGTGATATTTCACTAAGCTGCTAAACAAACCACTTTGATTATTTAGAATATAAATTTTTTTATCACTACATTTGCTGCTCATGCATACATAAGCTTGAGTACCTCTCTGAGATAATCGTTTTGACTTCAATTTTGTTGAATATGTTGAGTGTTCACCAAGTTATGTATATTTGAAGTTTGAGTACGAACGACAATGCAGACTCAAAGCAACGAGTTGCGGAGCCAGGAAAATTTGGGGCAACAAGGATACAATCTAGGCGTGACTTTGGGTCGGGTAGGGCAAAAAAAAAAGGAAGTCCACAAACGCTTCCACAAGGAGAAACGAACCAAGTGAAGAATCTTGGCCAAAAAACATTAAAATAACAAGTTTGATTTTTGGCAATTTTGGGAGATTTCACCCGACAAACTACAATTAATAAGTTTTTACTATGGAATGATTTTGAAGAATAATTTTCCCATTTAAGTGGGTTACCTTGTGAGATACATACAATTGGCCTCAGATTTCAACTCCAAGAATTTTCATTTTTGAGCACCTTTTTGGTCAAGTGTTGGGAGTACGTACAAGATTTTTTCCACCTGCTTGAGTAATGAGCGATTTGAGTGATCTAGAAAGCAACTGAAGTGCATTAGGGGGAGAAGGAGACACTACTAGCCAACCTTAGCTTATGTTCTAGGAGCAAAAGCAACCTATGTCGGTGAGTAAGCTTGGAGTTCCACGATTTGAGGTGGAAAATATGATGGATGTAATGACTCTATCTTGTGGAATCAACAAATCATAGTGTACTTTATGCTATGGGTTTGGACAATATGCTTAAGCCATGAACCCACGACATAGATAATGATGATTGGATTGACATTAAATAATTTGTATGTAAGTATTGTGATATTGTATTTCAAGCTAAATGTTTTTAAACAAATAAAGTTGATGCTAACGAGTAAAAGAGTTGTTTAAGTCATTGTAACATATGAAAAGTTTTCAAAATTTGTGTACACGGCTTTCAAACTCACTAGATTTAGGGTGACGAAAGGTACCAAGATTCAAGATCATGTAGATGACTTCAATGATTTGATTGTGAATCTTGAGAATCTTGGAAAAGTTTTGAGTGATGTGCAAAAACCCATTCTATTACTGAGTTCTTTGCCGGCCTCATACAACTCCCTATCACATATGTTATTTCAGAGTGACTAGGAAACCATCACATACAATGAAGTTGTTATTGTCTTATTGATCGAGGACATGCAACACAAGCTGTTATGTATTACTCTTCCGATCAATCCCCATTTTCTTCTACTACCTTGATATTCTCCAATAGTAGAACTCTTACTATGGAAAAATTCAATGGAAATACCAAGACCAAGTCTAGATCTAGGTATACATCTAGAAATAGTAAAAACGTTAAGTGTTGGAAATGTGACAAATTTGATCACATTCGTGAAGATTATCATAGTGAAGCAACCTATGAATCCTTGGTTGGTGGTTGTAATTAAGTATTTTGGTTATGCACTTTGTACTTCCGTGATAAATCTGTATACATAAGATTTTTCATTACTTCATGGTTAGAAGCTTGAAAGCTCATAAAAGCCTGAAGTAATGAAAGATGTGATGCTAGAAAAGTCAAACTATCTTATCAAACCTCATCGCAAAATAATTGAATTCATCTAAATAAGAACACAATTGAGATCAATTAGATTGAACTCATTCAGAGCTATAATTGTATCTCGTACTGATTACTTCTTTCCTACTTTGTTTGTTCATATAATTTTACAGTTGAGAAAGCATGCTAAAAATCAGAGTAAAGCAACAACCAAAATTGTGCCTAATAGTAATGATAGCCTTCAATTAAAAGCAAAAGAATGTGATCTAAATTGATACTCGGTGAAGACGTAAGATAGAGTTTTTAAAGTTCAGTCAAGTTAATATTGATAGTGTAGAGAGGTCTTGTGATATGCCCCAAGACTCCCAATTGCATTAGATCTTTGGATTTCATGTGACATGTATGAGGAGTTGATAACAAAAACTAACACTTGACCTACAAAATTACTCATGGACAAGATGTGCGAGAAAACTCAATGGATATATCATACATTGGATCAGTCTAGTTGAGACCAGAAGGATACTATTCAAAATACTTGACAAAGCCTACAAAGAGATTGGAGACCAAATTTTGTATTGAGTTCTACGTTACCAAAATTACTCTGTTGTGGAAGACAAATGTTTGCAACTTTTTCCGCATAATCAAAACATTTAGAAGCAATGAACATCTTGTTATTTTGTTCATCTTCAATATATTTGTTTCTTGCATACCGATAACGAACATTTTGCATGAGGACGAATCTTAGAGTTGTAATTATCTTTAGTTAGTTAAAGCTTAAGTAGAGGTTAATCTAAATGTTGATATAGATATTTTAGCGTGCACTAGTCATAGCTCTCACGTCAACAATCTGCGCGATTGGTAGGTAGAAAGCACGTGTGTTAGTTGACAACGTCACATCAGCGATCCGTGCTTCTTAGGTAAAGATTGAGTGTGCTAGTTGGGAGCGTCACGTGAACAATTAGTGTGATTGTTAGGGTTATTCGCTATGTTATCCATCCACTAGGAGTTGGATGGTGGAGATAAGATCTAATCTCTTTCTACTTGTTGGTGAGAGTTATATAAGGGAGAAGAGAACCATTGTTAATATCTTTCATCTTCAAAATTTATGTTTCCATCTTCGAGTGAACTTCTCTATAAACCCTAGTGTTAAACAAGTGGAAATAAAACTTGGATATTACACTACGAGCGCATAAGTATTTTTGCATTGTATGCAACAAGATTGTTGGGAGCACATTGGAGCCATGCATGACAGCGTATAGTTGAGTATAGCCTATCCTTGATATGTCATATCATTCTTGATCAAATTTGACTCTTTGTCATATAATACTTTGCAACCTTAGGGTTGACTTTCACTCAGGTTTACCTTAGATAGCTTTTGCGGTTGTTCATCATGAATTTCGAAGACTAAGATTTTTGTTCATACTCATAGCTCAAACACCCTCTCACATAATAGCTCAATCTATCACTCCGATTCACACACACATCGACACTCCAAAATACTGAAAATTGTCACTTTTTCATATAAAACAAATCTTTACACATGAACTTTCTAAACTTGATTAATAAGATTTTCTCCAACTCTCTATATATGCTACTTGAGAAGTTAACAAAGTAATAAATGATAATTTCTATCTAACCTATTTTCACAAAGATAAATCATAGTATGTTTGACTACTTACCAATATGTGACAACATGCCATTGGTCTCTTAAAGCTTCTTGTGATAGCCCACCCAAGGCTAAATTGCAGTATAACAACAAAGGATCAAACCCACATGGACAGGAACAACACACAGAGTACAAAGTGTCATGTTTTGACACACTATTGAGGAGTTTGAATTCTCAGGCTACTGTCACTTCCAGAAATACTGCAAGTGCTCAACTCGGAGGTCACTCAGAGGACACACAATGCAGTGTAGTACACCCCAACACAC